CTCGCAAGCCGCGAAGTTTTTGGAGCGTCCAATCGTTCGACAGCCGACATCGACGACCGAGAATTGGTGCAGGAAACGAGTGAACCCGTGCACTGAAAGCTGCTGAACGCGTCTCAGGAATATCTTCAGATCGCTTGGAGTTTGGACCGTCGGATGAACCTCTACTTCAACGGACGAGATGGAGCGTGACTTCTGCACAAAGGGAGAATGACGCGCAGATCCAAAAATCAGCCGCCTTCGACACAATCGACAACATTTGGACAACCAAATTCAGACTCCTCTATTTGGTGACGAATATGGTGCGCAAATCATCTGCAGAGTCAGAAATCTGCCAGAGTATTACCTACTTGGTAATATCTGCATGCAGAAAATTGACACGAGAACGTGGATCGTCGGATCGGTGCGGAATCAACGGCACGAATGCAGCAGAGACTACACTTATGGGAAATCATCATCATGGAGACAACATTCGTGACCAGCGACTGCACAATCGACGCATCTTCTAAACTAGTGTCGATAACGATCGATTTATTTCGACGAAGTCATCTTCCTTAAAAATGGATCGACATCAACACGACAGGATCTTCACCCAGGAAAAACAATGAAGCTGCGTGAAGACATGTTCTCCATCCACGAGACACTTCTTCATACAAATTGATCGACAACCTATGGGATTGCAGAGAAGTAGCCGTTTTTCTCTTGCAATGCTCCCAAAGTTCAAGTTGCTGCGAAGGAGCAGATTTCGCACGCCAACGACGACGCAGTGAACCCGTCTCGTCAAGGCCAGCGAGACACTACTTCGTAACAGGAGCTGAACGATTCGTCTTCATCAAGAATCTCAGCCATCCGAAGTGATTGATTGGAGCAGTCTCAACATCAACCTCACGAGGCGACACACCAATCATGCGTCGCGATTCCAGGTGTTAATGACTTGCGTGGAAAAAAATTCCGTGCATGTCACGATGCTTGACAGATTGAGGAGTAATTAACCTCTAATCCGGCAAGTACTCGTTCACTAGCGACCCCTACGGCACATGCATTGGAGGCGATTCTACCAGAAGCCGAAGCGTTACAAGCACCAACGTAACTTCGACGATTCAGGAGAACGTCAAGCAACACGAGGTGTCAACAAATGAGGGAGATGCGGACTACTACAACACGATCACGCGCTCTACCCGACCGTACATCGGAGGCACGGATGAGCATTCCAGGAATTGCTACCCGTGGATACATTGAGGGGAGAAGCAAATTTCTCTTCATACCCTCAAATGAAACAATCACCGGCAGCAATGGAACAACACATGTGTACCAATGTGCACGTGTTCCTGGTAGTTACGCCTGTTACACCCATCAGGAACACTCTACAAGGAAGAGGGAGTTGATGGATTCTCCTTCAACTGGCACGAGTTGAGAGAATTCTCTGCAGCAGCTGCCGCCGTCGCCATCGTCGCAACCGCCGCCGCCGCCCGCAGCAGAAGACTCGACACAACAGTCACAACCAAACCCTGATGGATGATTCTCCACTCAATGGAGATAACACTGGATTATATTCCAGTATGATCATAAAGTCCCGGCCAGGCACAGTACTATGATTTCCAGCTAGTGGGGAGGAGATACCACTATGCGAGGAAACAACATGGCAATGCCATACACCCTCAAGAGCTGAAGATATTTGCTCGTATGGGGATGGGAGGACCACGGTACGCTACCGGTATACAGTCCTCATGGCCTATGGCTTTCCTTAAAGTCATAAAACCTGCGTCACAACCAATCCATCACCAGCACCACCTCCACGGAAGCAGATAGGCGTGGAATGGAGCGCCGACGCCACTCCGGATAGTGGACTCCGCGTATCTCCAACAACACCCCTGTTTGCCGAAATGGAGCAGACTTCAACACTGATGCTGGGTAGCTGAGACATCTTCTACATCAACGCTACTTCAAGGACAGTGACAGAATGAGACAACACATGATGGCACCAGAAGACCTATCCCAATATGTGCGCCCAGACACTGATACCTACCGATGGCCTCCGTGCTAAACTGGAAGTGCATAAGGTCATACTGGATTGGCTGTCATCAATGCCCATTTGGAAGTGGGAAAGGATTACTTGGGAATACCCATAATATTCCCAAATGTCCTAACCCATCACCATGGGATATCTACGCAGCTGAGATTCCTTGCTTGAGCAACCACCGAGGGAAACTACTTGGCGCCGATTCTGGAAGTTACCAGCTCCGCGTTTGTGGTACCGGCCCCTCGCATGGTTCCGAACTTAAGGGATACACTGAGCAGCACTTCGCATGCGCTGTTGTACTCAAGGCAGTGTGACTAGCAGACCGCGTGGTGGACAGGGTTACTACTAGTGATTCTGCTCTCCATTCCGCAGCACTCCGATGCCGAGTGGGTACGACTCGCGACAACACTACGGCATGGACCATCATTCGACAGAAGCTGCATATAACAGATACAACACTGCTACAGAAGCAGTACTACGACACAACGGCCATACCACCAACACTTGGTGATCTTCACACGTGGACCAGATGCGGGTAACAGCATGCACGGATCGGACAACATAGCCACTAATCTGCACGTTACAGCACACTGTTCCAACCATTCACATCTCCAACTCCGACTTGCATCTGCCCTGGAGTTTGCCTACAAGTATGCTCCTGACGCCGCTACTGGACAGACACTGTACTTCCTCTATTACGGACGCCACCTGACCACACCATCACCATGGGAGACGAGTACTGCTCGACACGCGCAATCTTGATATCGGTCATCTTCCATCCAAACTACGACCTCGCTTCAACGGGCCTTTCCTCTTTGAAGCAACGGTCACTTCATTCACCTCCCGCTTCCGCCTACCAGCCACTTGGAAGATCCATACCGCCCTCCATACCAGCTTCTTAAACCCTATCAAGACCAAAAACGCTCTACACCGAATGCCAGCCACTGTCGTCGCCCGTGTTCATCTACGACATGGGACAACTACGTACTTGGATACCGTCATCGTCAGACTGGCACTCTGGAGCTTCTTCTTTGCTGGAAGGGTTATGATACTTCTATGGCTGCGTCTCTGAATCCGACATGGGTAACGCCCGTCGTCCTCTTCGCGACTACCTTGTCAAGCAGGGTGTTACTTCTACCACCCAGCTTTGAGGGGGGGAAGTGTGAGAGTACGACCCCGTTACACCAATTTCCCCTTTCCATATTTCCTTTCTATTTCATTCCTCTTTTTATCCTCATTCATTTGGTCTTTACCCCATCTTATTTGGTTTCCTATTCCTCCTTTTCCATTATCCTTTGGTTTATCCTGTTATTATAATTATATCACCGACCAGGCTCGGGATGTACTGGCGCGCTATATCTAGCGTAATCCTGCCGTAATCCCTTAAAGCCAATAGCCTTGCGTGGCTATACGCATGGTGATTCTATTTCTAGAAGGGTCTATTCCCTTTGGATAGGATAAACATGGTTACCTGATGTAATCTGGAAGTATAAAAGCCCCTTGTACTGATTGATAGTGCAACATTGAGCAAACCTTTCCTCGGGACATTCCATCCTGTGACACAAAAGGGGGGTTGGGGATATAGGGAATACATCAAATGTTGGAAAACAGATTGAATTAAAAAAAAAAAAAAAAAAAAAAAAAAAAACCCAAAGCATACAATTGCGAGTTACAAGTTTTACATTGGCAGCACGGCACTAAATGAGCTTCTGTGGAGTACTTGGGGTTGACAATGTGTCACTTGGTGCAACAGACTTGTTGTTGTTGTTAACAACTGGGACCTGCGCACCAAGAGTTAGCGGATCAATTGTGAATGCTTTGGACACATAAGCAGCATCTCCTAGGATGAATGTTGCACCACATGACAAAACAAAATGATGTGACAAGTGACTTGATGACTTGAAAACCAAAAGTGATGCCATCTACTGAATTACTTACAATTGGACGCCTTTGAGAGAATGAAATGATTGCCCTTTCAAATCCATGACCCGCTGCCTTTGTTGTCATCTGTTAATAACACAATTTGTGCAGGCAAACAAATAAAAGGAAAATGGAATGAAGTGCTTAGCTAAGAGCATAAAAAAACCAAGATTACTCGTGTGATAATGACAAAAGGTGATTCCTAACAACACAATGTTGGCAACAAAAGTTGAGTGTTAAATGGAAATGGCAATGCCGTTGGTGCGCAAAGTATCAATTTTGAATATATCTGACGCACGTCATCTTTGACATACCCGAACAAGCCAACGGCCGATCAACCCACGCAGTAGTTTCTTCTTAACATCAATTTGAGCTTCTGCCCAAATGGCATCATTGAAAAGGTCTTGAACATCCTTGAGTGCATTGAGACTCACTGTGGCCTGCTTGCTTAGACGTTTCAGTTTTCCAGCTATCCACAAAGAGAGAGAGAGAGAGAGAGAGAGAGAGAGAGAGAGAGAGAGAGAGAGAGAGAGAGAGAGAGAGAGAGAGAGAGAGAGAGAGAGAGAGGTAACTAGAATCTATTTAATCGAATGTTCAATGTGGCATGGGAGACCAACAGAAGAATGCACATCACATATGTCATGCAAACATTAAAAAGTGCAAAGAATATGAATGAGAACAAAGAAACAACGAATGCCAAGTAAACTAAAGTAGAAGGGAGAATGTCTGATAGGATGAATGAGGTAAGACACATCGCTTTAGACATAAAATAGGGTGGGATGTTATAGCCATGGATAGAATTGGCAAGAAGGTAGAGGGTGTACAATTGGGCTGAAGCAATAAGTGAGAGGAACCATAAATGGAATACAGTGAACAGGGTGGATTCTAAAAAGAAGAGAGTTTTTACTACGGATAGGAGATAATGGATAGAAGTAACAACAGTACAACAAAGTGACTTACGATTTTGAGAAGTACGTACCTACAGTAGTGTCAAAAGCAATGATGATATGGTCACTTCGACATGCATCAGGTAACACGTGGTCGTGCTGACAACGGAATCCATCTAACGTGCAATCCCATTTGCAGGGACAACCGCATATGGTATCGCTTGCATCTGAAGACTTGTGCATGCAGAGCCAAACTGTATCGACTGAAGTATTTCGAATGTCCACACATATCGTGCACGTTCGTACTGTCCCGTTTGCGTATACATAATCCTCCACCCCTGCCAGGCTGAAGAAATGGAAATATAGAGGGACAACTAGATTGTATGCTACTAGACCATGCAATGAAGCTCTTTAGTACATATCAACTCATCTAAATGCACTCATACATAGCCGTGACACAATCCTAATCATAGATCAAGTACAGCCCAATCAACTTACAAACTGACAAGTCCGATGTCAGCATCAGTTGGTGTAGGGGGGGGGGGGTGTGGTACCCAAGGTGTGAGCAATCATGTTGTCATCCGTTACTTTGATGACCTTCGTTCTTGGAAGGGGAAGGGTTAACAGTTGCATGGGGTTTCAAGTGCATGTTGATGATGACTAAGTACGTAACATGTGGAACGCAGAGTGGAATACGAGCGCAATAAACGCAATACCGTAAACATTTACTATCATCACATACCTCCTGGTGGTCACAATCAGCTCGTCCTTCACGTATAGCTCCGTGATCCACACCACAATAGGGGTCCGGGCCACGAGAACCCCTGTGATCATCTGTTGTTCCCTCACAATCATGTTGATGACATCAGCCTTTGAGCCTAATGCTGTCAACCCGAACTGCCCACTTTGATCCTGCACGGAGCACACTGCTCGAATGAGATTGCCGGGCTCCACTTTTGCCACGGTCAGCTCCATCATGAAAGAAGAGACATGGCGGTAGTGATTTGCGTGATCAGAGTACACAACAGTACAAGAATAAAGGGAAGCATTTTCGATGCACCATGAATTCTTAATTTTACTCGACAAACAAGAGAATCAAGCAAATATAACAATAATGGGAGTTACATCTGTACGTACCACGTGAGGTGTTGATGGGTTCCTTGCAAACAGCACAGAGAGTGGAGTGGGTGTAAATATGGTAAGCGGGATGCACCACTCTTGTGTAGTCATGTGGGCATGCGATGTGTCATGCTCCCACCTCAGCTCTGGCTTCTTGTCATGAACTGAATCCCTGTCTTGTTACAAAGGGTTTAAAGATGATTTAAAAGGATTAAGGAAGTACAAGAGGTGGTGAGAGATAAAAGAGATTACTGATTTTACCTAGAAAAGTGATAGTCATGACAAAGGAGCTATATGGTAGTGTGATATGACACAAAGGGGCAAAAGTGTGTACTTGGGTAACAACTAGAAACTAGGTGTTAAGACAAAGGGGGAAAGGCACTAGATATAAGAAAAGGACCTACTGAAATGTTTACGCCAATTACTGGGGGGTAAGAATCGGTCAAGGCACAAAGGTTGTACAAGCGTATAGAGGCAAAAACAAAGTGATAAAAAAGGTCAGAATTAAATAAAAGTAAAATATGTTAAACGGGAGAAAACTATCGGATGAAACAAAGAAGGCTGAACATAAGGATAAACGTGGACAACTATGTGTACACAAGGGAAAACTGAATACATTCGAGCAATGGGAATATGCAGGGAACGTGAACATGTGCAACACTTATGACTTCAGCATAAATCTACACAACTTCGTAGATAGGGTTTACATGTCACAACATGCGCAAACAAGCACTCATCAGTATACCGCTTACCCCTTTTGCGGAGGGAACATGATGGTGAGACCAAAGATATCGTAGGTTGCTCCAAGGACGAAATCTTCGAGAGTCTCAGAACACTTCACCACAGTCCATGATCCCTCCGGCCATAAATTCAGATCGATCAAGGGGCCAGCAGAGTCCATCAAATACAACTTGGCAGGGAACCTTCGATGACCAGCATCCTCAAAATTATGAGGCTGTACGCCAATGATGATCGCTCGAACCATGAAGTTCGTTGGCTCCTTGCTTTCACGTAGAAGAGACGTAAGCTGGGCAAAGGTCTTGATTGCTGGAACCTGCTCAACAATGTAATGCCAATAACATCAAATTTTAATGTAGTTAACAACAACAATCAGATTAGCTACAAAGCAAAAGTTTCACAAAAATATACAGTATATAGCAAGATCTTGAGTACCAAAGTCAACATCATGGTTGTGAAAGAAACATTACAGCGAACGTTGAGCATTGGGAATGATAGTAGAATCATAGCATTATGCTCATCCTTATGGAAGTGGTAGCAAGTGTGTCACATGCGTGAGTGTGGATATGAAAATTTGCATAAATTCTCACCTGTAGGAGCGATAGCTGGTCACATGGAAGATGGCCTGCAAGTCAAAGCTCAAGTCATTTTAAAAGAACAAATACAGGGAAATGATCACTAAAATAGGTCTCACCAACTCTTACATCAACCTCAAATTTTGAACGATCGAGCCATACATGATCAATCAAAGTATTACGTATAGTTGGTGACGATGGAACACAGTGAGTAAACAAAAAGTTGTTAATGATTTTGATCAAATGCTTTGGAAGAGGCTTCCTTGTGTCGAAATGGAGATCACCAAGAATGCTAATATCTCCCTTTGGGATTGTATCCATAGCTTGAAGCAATGAGGAATAAAAACATAGTAGAGATGCTTGAGGATTACGATAAACACAAACAACAAATGTGTTTGGTAAAGATATGTATCGCAAGACAATGATTTGCACTTTATCAAATACTTGATGGTAAATAATCGAAATGTGCTCATTTTTGTATGCAACCAGCATTCCCCCGAAATGGCAATCTTGATGGAACACACAAAGGTCCTTAAATGCAATATCGTGAGAATTATTTGGTGAAAGATGGGTCTCAATGAAAACAACAAAATCAAACGATCTTAATGATATTAATGATGTTAAGATGCACTCTTTTTTAATGTACGTATATTATGGAAGACAAATTTGGCTCGTGCTTGGGACATTGCAATTACTTCTACTGGAACTGGATAAATCATTATTGGGCTCCTACGTTAGTGTTGCATTTCTTTGGTAACTTCCCTATGCACTCGAATAGAGTTTGCCGAAAGGTTTTCCAGAAAAAGAGCTTGGTGAGTCTTAAATCTACTTAACGCGACATACGCTGCATGGAGGAATATTGCTCGATAAAAATGTACAACACCGGAATCGAATGTGCAGCCTTGGCTACGGTGCACACTAATCGCCGCACTTGACTGTAATGTAAATTGTGATCTCGATATTTCATCACACTTTCGGTTGATCGAAAACAGACACTTACACCTGACGATTGGAGTATATCTTGTATCATAGACATTCCATCTCGAGTACAAATGATGACCATTACGCCGCACTCTAGTGCCCACATGCACATCATCAAAAAGTACCGAAACAATTATTATCTCACCCATTTCATCCTTCGTGAACGCTTTAACGGTCCCATGAGTACCGTTTGCCAGCCCATCAATGGTATCCACATTCAGTACAACATGGACTTTACAGTTGACAAACAAGTGAAAAAATGCATACAAGCCTGAAGTTTTTTTTGGATCAGATGAAGCATACCTTGATGGACTTTTATCACGACGAGCTGATTTATCAAACAGATGTTAATCGTGTGCCGGTATCACATACTTCTCAATATCTGATGCATCAAACACACTGGCATTATGTGCATTAGTGTCAATATTCCTGCAATAAATATGCTGCATTGCTAGTTTACCAGGACTAGGACGGTTTAACAAAGTAAATAATGAAACATCGTCAGTTGCCTGCTTACCTTCGAGTAAACGATTGAGACACTTTGCAAACTCCTGTTCCTCTCTTTGTCGCATGATGGCTGTTAGCTCAACCATCTCAAACAGAATCCATACAACATTTTCAACCATAGAATTCAGTGAAGCACTCTCGGGAAAACAATACCTATCAGGAACAAGGGGTAATTGAAACATATCACCAACAAGAATGACATGTAACCCACCAAATGTTATATGTGACTCACCACGGAGTTCCCTCAAACACCAATCCAACCATTGGAACATACTGTATGCTTGCCGAGCATTGAAATTTCATCAACGACAACGACTTTGACATCACTAAAACGAGTAGTCAATGTATTTAATCGACTAGAGGATAGATTAAAAAGCATCCTATTCTGAGAAATGGGTAACACCTGCACCTCCAGTTATGAAAAGATGTAAAGGGTGCTCGTTGAGTCGAATATGACACACAATATGATCGCACACCGCCCGTTGCTCTCTGTTTAACGAATTTTCTAACCTCCTATACTCGGAATCGTCAACCTCGATACATATAAATACATCTATCGGTCTTTCAGGACGTTCCTGAAAGTTCAACTCATGTGCAATATCAACGGCACCATCATCGTCATCATCATTAACTAACTTCTTAGAATTGGTTGGAATTTCTTCACCATGATTGAGCTCGGCTTCTTTGAATGCGTGTGCCCAACTATCGCTTCCTTTTGTATATTCTTGTTCCTTCTCGACAATTGATTCCTTGTACGTGTCATACGTCTCCATAACCTGCTCGAGATTTCTC